ATAATCTATAATAATATGTATTTTTATAGCACCATTTCAAGAAGCCTAAGTATGTATGGCACCTTCACAAGAAATATGTGATAAAAAGTAAATAAATAAATCAAAAGTAAAAAAAACAACCACACATAGCCACAAAATTATGCATACAGCAATTTTTTTAATTTTCCCATTTTTCTTTTCCCATTCATTTTTTTTGATAAATAATTAAATGGGAATATAATTTAGCAGTCACATGAGTATATATTTCTTCAACCACTGTATCTGATTAGAATGTATAGGACTGTTAACCTACAGTAACAAGTAATTAAAGACTCACATTTTTAAATTTTTCTTTATTCATACAACATCGAGTCCGAGACCTGATTTTGAACCTCACTGCTACCCTATGTGTCTTTTCCATATACTCAACATCACTTCTAATATACTTACTGCAACACATAGCCTTGTTAAGACAATTTTAGGTCCTCCAGAAAAAGCCAGGATTTGTTTAAATATCTCTGACCTCAAAGGTTCATACTGCTCTTCTGGAAGCTCTAGCCTTAGGAAACAATAARTAAAATGTATAATTAATCAGTAAATATGACCATCAACTGCCTTTTGTTTTCTCTCTTGGTTTACTCTGAAGCTGACTTCAGCTCAGGTTGTTGAAACGTTAGTCACCATCAGCAACAATCTTTCTCAAGACTATACACTCACCCAGATGATCACACTTTAAAAAAATCAACACCTRGGCTCAAACCATATTATACTTTTATTAGTAAATATGCTACAACACTGTTTTCAGTGATACTTCTTCTTCTGACTCTTGTGTACAGGGCTACTTAGAATATTTTAGCTTATTACATGCTGCGTCRTAGGACCTCATTAACTTTTTCCACTCATACAGGATACACACGTATGGTAGGATCCCAYGCGTACGAACAGATCACATGCRCTAGGTCCATGCACAAAACATGCARTTGAYCCTGTAAAACTTMTGGCCTGTAGTGTAGTTAGAATAGTATTGCAATACATACCAATATCTAGAAATCTTAAAATGTAGCATGGAAGCACCAAAAAACTGAATTTCAGCTGCCTGGAAAAGTATAAAAGTTTATATCGTATGTAAATATGTGGTTCTTAATAATCAGGCATTATCCAGAGGTTCATGTTTAAGCCTTTGATGACAGATCAAAATGGAACTTAGTAGTTGATTTTTTTCAGGGGTACAGGAAGGACGCGATATACATTCAGAAACTGGAGAAAAACCAAGTAAAGCAACTCAACTCACATATGACACTAGGTTCAGGAATGATAATATTAATTAATCAATCTATAGACTTCATTCAAATATATCTTTATATACTGTATATCTAATTGTTGAAGGTAGAGAATACATGTAAATCCTGGGAATAAGTACATCTACAGCTGTAGTGGCAAGATTTTAGAGATCTTTTGTGTGATCGCAGGGCTTGAAATATATAGCGGCCGGCCAATGGCAAAATGACAGGCCAAAGTTCAGGTTTGCCAGGCAAAAATGACGATGCATTACCAAATGAATAATAAAATGGCAGGCAAAATTTACTGGAATGACCTCCTTTATCTACTATGGCAGGCTACAAATTTTTTTTCATTTCGAGCCCTGGATTGGACCCACAATTACATCACAGCTTAAAAGCCTTATAGTACTGAAAACCGATAGCCTACTGGTCCTCAAAGCTACAGTATGATGACACTGATGACTGTGGCAGTATGAGAGAATGCATTAGAATCATCATTAACCCTGCTTCCTTAATATGACCTATACAATTTTCTCCAGTTTATGGCACAATACACCCAGCACCCACATCACTACTTAGATAGAAGGTTCTTAAATTCAAATAATCTGGACAGACCTTGTCCTTTGCCATTAATCTCCAGCAAAGCTGCCAWGCTTGTTGGGACTTCTGTGTGTCCAGTAGCCACTGGTGAGCTTGTTGTCTGTTATCTGACGTCTTGTTGTTATACAGAGTGAGCAGAGCCTGAAGTGGTCCAAACAGGAAAAACCAGTTTACAACAAAAATTCAGTGCACGCTAGGGAATTTTTTAATGAACATTAATTCTATGTACACAACTCAGTTTTATAGTTTCGCTCGCGATCGCGTGCAGACCATGTGCTTTTTGATAATCCCCGAACTGAACAAGACTGGAAAACTTACGAGACTTACATATGCATGTGTTCACCTTATCATTAGGATAAGATATTTGAGTAAAAAATTCAATTTGTATTGCTATAACCAAATCAATCTAGAATACGATGATCATTTAACTATTTACAGCGTAAATCACTGGTGAAGAGAAGACAGATTCGCGTACAAAGAGAAAGAGAAAGTCTAGTTACGATTCTGGTTTTCTTCTTTGTTTTGTTCTCTGTCGATCAGTGCTTATTTCTATACGATCAGGAGTCTGAAATGCGTTTCTAAGACCAACCTGCTCACACTGGTAAAGCAAAGTCTGTATATCTTGCTCACTTCTGTCCATCGCTGATGAATCTTCACGTATTTTTCATGATAATCCCTTTCTTGTCGGAATCTCTTAACCCATCCGCCATATTGGATGCGTAAATCTCTTTTGCGCATGTTTTGTGTGTTATCACCTTCAATGTTACTGCGGGCTCTTGATTTGCTTTCTCTCGGTTTTTTGTCGAAAAAATGATATTGAGCTTTTGTCGAAACATGTTTTAAGGAAATACCTTCTATTAAGTCATTTTACTTCTTGATTGGGCCCTAAACTGTTGATAAGTGATCTTATTTACAAGTCAATTTGTTAAGTGACCCTTTCTAGAAGGGAGGGGGGGGGGGGTTGAAAGAAGCTACATCATACAAAAACAAGAGAATATTAAGTAAGTTACTTCATATTCTCCTGACAAAAATAAATAAAATCCTCTCTCTTCTCAAAGAAATTATTATTGTGACCCTAGCCAGCGTACATTGGGTCTTCTTCAGTGCTGACAGACTGACTTTGGATTATACGAATAATAAAATAGACTAGAATTACCATCTATTTCTGTAAAGCCTTMTTTTCGTCATGACTTTTCCTTAGCTATGTCCACTGGACTATAATTTGTACTAATTTTTCGGTTAGAATAGAAGGTGTCCTGATTTCTAACTAGTAGCCTCCAAAAAAGTAAAAACAAAAAACAACAAAAACGAAAACAAAACAAACAAAAACACAATCTTTCTCACCGCTACTATTCAAGTCGTCAACGTTCAACAACATATCCTCAATGCATCAAGTCTTTGCCTGTCCACATACCTAGCTGAAGCTTGAAGGCGGTGGGTCGAATCGCATTTGTGCCGACGACCTTTTGATCGAGGTATCATTTCATTCCAGCTCATTTATACTTCAATCCAATTACGTTGCCAAATACACATGTATACGCCAGTATTAATATCCCACGGGGAGATTCCTCGAAGATCCATCCACTTGTGTTGACAGAATCAGACGGAAGAAAATACMTCWCAGATTTGATTTACGACAAAGCTGATGCGCATAAGAAGTTTAGCCAAGTTATGTTTAGGCATATCTAATGCGCGTATATGATTAAACGGTTTGCATCCATTTGTGTTGACAGAATCAGACGGAAGAAAATACCTCACASAGTTCCAGTAGATTCACGACCAAGCTGATATGCGTAATGTGTTAGGCATATAATAAGATGTAAAGCCAAGTTATGTTTAGGCATATTTAATGCCCCTATATTATATAAAGGTTGCACTTTTGAGCTGTCTGGATAAATTTGCGCACAGCTCGGAGCTAAAATGAAGACGCTTATCATTTTGATGTTGGCCACAGGAGTCTTTGGGGGTGAGTTGTGTTGCAATTATACATTTTTCTCAGTATTGCTGCCGAATTTCATTAGTTTTTTGGCAAAAGTTTTTTGATTTACTAGATAAGTTTAGTTATAATACCAGGTTGTAGGTTGTATGCGCGCAACTTTTGTATCTTGTTGTAGTTGACGAAAGTCAGCACTTATTGGCGTAATATACTATTTAATTTAAAATTTCCTAGTTTTATTGCGAAAAGCAAAGTAAGTCATGTCCAAGGTGTACACTCTCGGCCTCAACTTCAGATTTGCTTCATTGCTGCTGCTGTTGTTGTTGTTGCTTCTGCGCAGCTATTGTAATTGTAAATGTTTTACGTCGATCATGAAGGGAGTGATCGATTGGTCTCCCAACAAGCCAGAGGCTCATGAATTATGCACTTGACGCCAGAATTGGAATTTATAGGACAGGTTTTGTTAAAGTTGTGCACCTCGATCGGAGCGCTAAGTGAATTAGTGTTAACATGCACACTGATTTAATGATATCGACGTTGATTGTTCGATTTTCTTTACAGCACCCTTTGCTGGTCAACCAAGCAGCTCACAAAAAACTTGCTCAAAAAGTAAGTTTATGTGCTATATTTATATGCTTTTACAATTTTATTCGAGAGCTGCATCAGGTCCCATCCCGACCGCTAGGAGAAATCAACAAATCTAGGCTTCCTTGAGTCACGATTCTTTTTATCCGCGCAAGTCACGAGACTCTCGCGAACCACATACTGATTGCTATTTTTCCTTGATTTTTTTTTTCAGAAAATCTCCGATTCCCCACCGGGAAGGAGATGACCTACAACTATGTAGGAGAAACCGTTAGCAGTGTGAATGGATCGTCAACTGCTCAGTCGGCGTTGAAAATTAAAGCACGCTGYGTGATCAAGACTATTGGTGCATGTCAACATGTTTTGAAGGTAAWTGACTATTTGSYTYMKTSTATACAGCACACCATGTACCATAATCGCATATGCTTACGATGTCAATACCTTTTGTGATTATTTACCAATGATGAGAGCGGAGGAGAGGAAGAGGAAAGATTAAGTAATTTTCTATTTGTATTCCCTTTACAGATAGACAGTGTCGAGCTCTGGGAAGGCCAGAGTAAGAACCTCCCTATTCAGTATAATCGCTCTGGGGAAACGGCATCTTTTGCTCGAGAGCTTCATGCTCATGACCTCGTCTTCCGATCCAGGAATGGCGCTATTGTGGAGGTGTTGTCTTCTTATCACGAGAGCCCACAGTCCCTGAACATCAAGAAGGGTATCCTCAGCGCCTTGCAAGTACAGTTTATCAAGGATCATTCCTTAATGAATGAGGTATCCATCCATCCATCCATCCATCCATCCATCCATCCATCCATCCATCCATCCATCCATCCATCCATCCATTAATTTGCTTGTTTGTTTCTTTGTTTGTTCCATATTGATTCCATCTTTATTTCAATTTCTTTCCTGGTATGGTTATCATAGACTGATATTGCTGGAAAATGCCCTGTCCAATACCGCATCCACTCCAAACATCTTAATGGATACGTAAAAGTTCTTTCGAAGACGCGAAACCTGAAGGAATGCAGCAATAGTTCCAAAACTTACTTTGGAATTCATATCCATCAATATAATGAAAAGGTACTAGCGCATACACGACACAACATCTGTAGGGGGAAATAAGCTAATCCGTCCCAGATCTATCATCCACTATCCTGGCAGTTTGCACCGATAGGCGAATCTCGTTGCGGTACAACCATATTTCTTTTCATCCAGCCCTCTTTACCGCCGGCTAGTGCTGCGTCGYCGCAAGAGAGAGCGCGCTCACTTCTTCGTTCCTTCATCCTTTGCCCCAACTGAAACTGTAACTGAACTCTCAAGTCGGTCTGAGCTTATCGTATTATTAAAATAGAATGATGCAAAAAATATATAGCTTTTGTTTTCTTGCAAGCACGGATATACTACACTAGTCGTTGCTAATTTTGTTTATTTGTTTGTTTGCAGTCGTTTAATAGACTTTACTCGTCAAGCAACTGTCGYTACMTCTTGAACGCCAAGAAGCGTRTCAMSAAAGTTGTGTGCCAAGAGAARCACCTGTTCAGACCCTTCTCCTCAGGAGCTCCAGCTGGTGCATCTACCACCATYAAGTAATATTTCCTGATTTATTTTATCGTTTGGGAAATTAAAAATTAAAAAAGTCAGTGTCCAAAGAGAGAAATTGATGTTTTCTCTCTTAATCATTGCACAATATATTGATAGAGATGAACTTTGTTGTCTTCTCAAATTTCGTCAACATAACGTCCGTTAACTTACTCTTCTTTTTAAACCTTTTCTCTTAGGCAAGTTCTGGAGCTTCAGGGAATGACAAAAGTACCCATTGAGTATGGATATGATACAAAACGTATGTAGTAAATATTGTCACATATCCATCAATTTTACTCTCTTTGACTTTTGAAATGTCAAAAACTCTTTTCATCCATTGCATTTCCTTTTTTTACACTCAGTTCTTCCTCGAAAAACTCCACTCACTTTCGAGCACGTCAAGCCAAACACTAAAAGCGTGGCATCGAGGAAAGTGATAGAAATMATCAMGCAGTTGGCTCGCGAATCCATCGAAGAAACAAAACCAGAATCAGCTCGTCTTTTCTCTCACTTGATTTTCCATCTGCGCAGGTTGAACAGCGACGCTGTAGAGAGAGTCTGGGATGGCATCTTCGACTGCGACAAGTTTGAAAAATGCACTCCTCAAGAGAAAGRYAAATTCCAGTAATAATCAAATTATTACTTTAATCAAATTTTCTCAATCATGTTGAAAATTTAGTTTCGATCATAAAGAGTAATATAATTGAACATAAAGAGTAATATAATTTATCATACACAGGACGTTTCTTCTGGATGCCCTCCCTCATTGTGGTTCGTCCGGCTGTGCTCTAGTTATGACCCGCGCCATTGAGCGCCAACTTGTCAATGGTGAACGTGGAAACATGTTTCTTACAGGAATAACAATGCTTGAACCCGAGGAAGATGTGATTATGCATATACTAAGACTGTGCCAAACAAAGATGACGCTTACCAGTATGCTTACGCTTGGAACATTGATTTACAAGTACTGTGAGGATGGAAAATGCAATGCGACGGTAAGAAGATGTAATGACATGCATAACTATAATAGTTACACACACTGTAATAGCTAATCACATAAACTAATGTTGATCATCGTATACGCGCGAAATTGAATAAAGGTAAATCTTGAGGAAGAGCGGGATGGATTGAGGAATCTTCCTCGTCCAGCTGTAACTTATTATTAAAACGTTCTTTTCACCCTAGGTCATTTCGAGTGCTAATTGCTCCATTTCACTATGACGTCACATCAAAACAATCTATTGTTTAAACGCAAGGATATCATGGTCGTCGGAGGGGTCAAATCAACGCAAATTCACCGAAAATTGTTCTAAAACCCGTATCATGCCATGAAGAGTACATATTAACACATATTATATCTGAAAACCAGGCCATTTTAGATTAAACTGTTTCGCTAGGAGCAAATTTTGTTGAATTTTCTATTGGATTTGGCGATTCTATCCCCCACATAAACAAGCAGTGACGTCATAGTGAANGCAGTTGGCTCGCGAATCCATCGAAGAAACAAAACCAGAATCAGCTCGTCTTTTCTCTCACTTGATTTTCCATCTGCGCAGGTTGAACAGCGACGCTGTAGAGAGAGTCTGGGATGGCATCTTCGACTGCGACAAGTTTGAAAAATGCACTCCTCAAGAGAAAGRYAAATTCCAGTAATAATCAAATTATTAACTTAATCAAATTTTCTCAATCATGTTGAAAATTTAGTTTCGATCATAAAGAGTAATATAATTGAACATAAAGAGTAATATAATTTATCATACACAGGGCATTTCTTCTGGACGCCCTCCCTCTTTGTGGTTCGTCCGGCTGTGCTCTAGTTATGACCCGCGCCATTGAACGCCAACTTGTCAATGATGAACGTGGCAACATGTTTCTCACAGGAATAACAATGCTTGAACCCGAGGAAGATGTGATTATGCATATACTAAGACTGTGCCAAACAAAGATGACGCTTACCAGTATGCTTACGCTTGGAACATTGATTTACAAGTACTGTGAGGATGGAAAATGCAATGCGACGGTAAGAAGATGTAATGACATGCATAACTATAATAGTTACACACACTGTAATAGCTAATCACATAAACTAATGTTGATCATCGTATACGCGCGAAATTGAATAAGGGTAAATGTTGAGGAAGAGCGGGATGGAATGAGGAATCTTCCTCGTCCAGCTGTAACTTATTATTAAAACGTTCTTTTCACCCTAGGTCATTTCGAGTGCTAATTGCTCCATTTCACTATGACGTCACATCAAAACAATCTATTGTTTAAACGCAAGGATATCATGGTCGTCGGAGGGGTCAAATCAACGCAAATTCACCGAAAATTGTTCTAAAACCCGTATCATGCCATGAAGAGTACATATTAACACATATTATATCTGAAAACCAGGCCATTTTAGATTAAACTGTTTCGCTAGGAGCAAATTTTGTTGAATTTTCTATTGGATTTGGCGATTCTATCCCCCACATAAACAAGCAGTGACGTCATAGTGAAATAGGGCGATAACTTAATGACGAGTTCTCTGTTGCTCAGGCTTAGCCCTCGGTTTTGTGCAGAACATCAACGTGTTCCAATCAAAGTCCGTGGAATTTCAAAGTGTTTGTATTGTTGAAGTTGTGCATTCTTTACTCTAACGTTGGTATTTGTTAATATTTAGACATTGATACGAGGCTAAGCCTGAGTAAATGAGTTTACAATCAAGGACCTCAGCGGTAATTTGGAACTCGAAAATAGTCTATTCATTGCATATTTGAGTTACTGACACCAGCATTGTTTTTTGTTAGTTAGTTAGTTAGTTAATTTTTTTTAACGCATTTGCTGTTTCTTTTTCCCWTTYAAAATGTTGATCATTCTAACTTTCTTATAGAATTATGCCACCCCAATCGTCAAAGCTGAATTATGGTTAATGGGTCTGTTAGGAAAGAGATGTGATTTCSACAACTCAGAGCAGGCTGAACGTGTCATCATGGCCTTAAAAGCAATTGGCAATGCCGGTCGCCCTTCGTCTGAGWATTCACAGTACACCCTCATGAAATGTGCCAAAAACCASAACCTACCAACSAWCATKACTSTCGCAGCRCTRAAGGCMTTTCGCCKAATGCCATGCAACGAAGCAATCCGCCGTAATATCATGAGCGACWTTGAATCCCGAAAAACTAACTTAACTTTACAGGTCTTAATATCAGGAATTTTTGTTGGCTTAGAGTGCTTCTCAAAAGGTCAGTTCAGAAATTTGGATTTCTATAAAAGGGGGAATTGCAGATTTGCAAATTTGTGGATTCGGACATTTTTCTTTGCGGATTTTCGCTTTTTGGCATTTTTT